ATATATATATATATATATATAAAAAAACTAATTGGCATGGACTTTTTATTCTCAGATACATTCCATTTTATAATGGGAAGTTAAATGTTTAGAGTAACATGTATAAGCTTTACAAACCTGTATGTATTAAAGTTATAAACTTTTAGAATGATTTTCCTGATGATGTGGTGTCTTCTCTTGCTTGGTGAATTTTTGTATATGGTTGTACATATATAAAAAGTTCTACTTAGATTGGTGTGTTTGTTTGGGTGATTGAATACAAACTTAAGTAACAACCCTGGAATATTAGTATTTTGCTGAGAAAAGATAGCTATATTTACTTCAAAAATAAACATGAAGACCACACCTTGATTGGAGACATTCACTTTTTGTCATTAATACTGTTGTTAATTATGTTTTAATGTTGTATTGTATTTGTTAGCTAGAGGAAGCTTTGGATCATTGATGATATAATATAACTTTATGGTTAAGTTAGTCCTAGAACTCTCTAGAACGAGGCTTAGGTTATAAATACAAGATAGTATGTTTCAAGAAGATAGTAGAGTGAATCAGTCTATATATTACAATTTTTGATTCGTGTTCGTGTCTAGCAATTTTCTTCTCATTTCTTCGGTTGATAAGATTCAAATGGTGGTTGAAGTCCAGCCAGGATGTGGATCTTAGCAACTGAAGTAATGAGAAGAAAATTGGTAGACACGAACACGTACAGAATGTTAAACTAAGTGAATTGATTATATTTTATCACTATTTATATTTTATCAGAGGTTTAATGTCACTTATAACAGGCTTACAACATTTTATGCCACTTTTTAAATTTCAAGCTTGTAGAAATCTTAAAGTAAGAAATAAACTGATTTATTCTCATTAAGTGGACTGGATGTTGAATTATTTTCACTATATAATTTAAAAGAACCTGCCAATGAAAGAACAAACAGTGTTACAACAATACAGTAAATTATGGTAACCTAACTAGAGACAGAAGGGTATAGGATAGTTATTGTAACAAACAGTGTTACAACAATACAGTAAATTATGGTAACCTAACTAGAGACAGAAGGGTATAGGATAGTTATTGTAACAAACATTGTTACAACAATACAGTAAATTATGGTAACCTAACTAGAGACAGAAGGGTATAGGATAGTTATTGTAACAAACAGTGTTACAACAATACAGTAAATTATGGTAGCCTAGCTAGAGACAGAAGGGTATAGGATAGTTATTGTAACAAACAACAAACAGTGTTACAACAATACAGTAAATTATGGTAGCCGAGCTAGAGACAGAAGGGTATAGGATAATTATTGTAACAAACAGTGTTACAACAATACAGTAAATTATGGTA